TTTGGGTCTTTTTTCAAACCTTATGTCTTATTGTGTCTCGATGTTAAACACGAGTATTTTTAATGTGTAAACTGGTCAGTAGAATGATAATTAACCATAAAAAAATTTATTTTGCTTTGCTAAAAAAACTGTTTTACTGTTCAACAGCTCGTCAAACCAATGGCCCCACCTCAAAACCAATGGGTTTTTGGTAGCATAAATTATTCATAACGTTATGATCATACCGTACCAAATTTTGGGGATCAAACAAAATCAGCGCATATGAATTGCTTGACAAAATTTAAAAAGCAATATTTTTTTTTTAATTTTAGGATTTCGAGTTATGAATTTAGTTGATTTTTAATTTCGAATTTCGAATTTAATTTTGAAAATTTTAATTGGTTGAATTCAAATAATAAATAAACATATTAATATCATATTTCGCCATCATGTATATAAAATTTATGTAAATAAAAAAAACCCCCATCTTTTCCAAAAAATGTGAAGAAGTAAATATTTTCTCTCCACTAAAAATTTTGAATTAATCCATCCATCATTGTTAGAAAAATCAATCAAGCTTTTTCTGCTACTAAAATACTGACAAAGAAATTCGTTATTATTAATATTAATTAATGAAAATCAGCCAAGCTTTTTTTTTGAAAAGATCCTTGACTTTTTTGATTGTATCATTAATATTAACGATCATGCCTTTTTTGAAAGTGTGAAAAATGTAACGATTTCGGAATTTCTAATACCAAAAAAACGACCATGCCTTTTTTGAAAATGTGAAGAAAAAACGCAACAATTATTATCATTTTAATATTGAACAACCACGTCTTTTTTTCACAATGTGAAAAAAAACCCCCGTTCTTGTTGAAAGAATTGACGAAGCTTTCTTCGAAAAAAATTCTCTCCTGCTGCTTATTATTATCATTATTGTCAATGTTAACAATTCGAAAAATTGATTCATTATTTTTAACGTTGAAAACAACCATGCCCTTTTCGAAAGGAAATGTTTATTAATATAAAAAATAGCGGTAAAATGTAAATCTTAAATAATAAATAATAATAATAAATCATTAAAAAAATAATAATAATAAATAAAATATGATTTTCCCACATTGATGCTTGTGTAATGTGATAATTACACGAACTCGCTCCAAGGGATTTCCTGCTTTTGCCGGAGCTTTGAAGACATTGTCAGATGATGCATCACAGATAAAATATACTCTTGGTATTGAGTTGAACTTGATAGCCGTTCTTCATCGACCATTGTTGAAGTACCATTTGTTTATAGTAGATAACAAAGAGTAAAGGAAATTTTTGGAACATCACGCACTTTATTTGTTGTTTACTTGTTTCTATGTGCACCGTTATTCTGTATCTCAATCATGATAGCTATGATAATTTTAATCAATGTTAGTGAGATGGTTATATAATGAGAAAAGTTATTTTGCAAAGAATCAAGTTTGATGTTCCTATATATATAAATTATACTGAAGTAAATATCTGTTATTATTATCATTATCATGCTACAATGCCATAAAACCGTGAATTTGTAACCAAAAATTGAGTTATTTATAGTACATCAGCGCCGTCGAAAAAATGTTAAATTTATATATTTTTTATTCATGGGAGGTGTGGAAACTAATTATTATCAACAAATTTTCACAAATTAAACTATTAAAAAAAATTCAAAACGCGTTCAAATTGTCTTCAATATCGGTATGTAGGACATACACACGAGTTGGTGTGTTAACTTTATGGTTTTTGACTTTGGAGCTAACTACGCGTAATATTAATGAAATAAAAATCAAAATACGCTTGAAACACACATAGGCTGGTCAAATATTGGCACTTTGTATAGTACACTAAAAAATAGACAATGCTAGAATGTTTTTATCGTTGAATCGCTAGAATTACGAAATCAAATCACTAGCTAGAGTTTGGTGATGAAATTTTTCAAGATTTAATGTAACAAATCGACACTATTGTTAATATTAGGGGTTGTTATCCAAGTATAGCTAATTTTAACTTCAGGGCTGAGATGCATGCATTCAGTGTTGAAATTTTAGCGCGGTAGTGTTTCATGTCACAAACCAAAAAGGAAACAAAGCGGTTAAAATTTAGTGTTAGGAAACTATCAAAATTTGAACAGTAGTTAAACCAATAAATAATTGTAATGATCGATTTTCATCAATAAAAGCAGATGTTTTTTCATAATTTTTTCTATCAACCCATTGTTCCTTATTATTTACTAGTGGTGTAATTTGATCAACATCAACCAATTTTTCCTTATTATCTACTAATAGTAAAGTTTTTGGACCACCAAGATCACCATGTTTTTCAAAAGGATCAAATATTTTATGTTTATCAGAATCATCTTCTGCACAATAATACCAATGGTTTAAATATTTATCAACTTTCTTAAAATTTTTAAATACAGTAAATGATTTTTCTTCTTTTATTCCATTATTGTCATCATCATTTTCAAATACTTTGAATTCTTTGAATTCGATATTTTTAAGAACATTTAAGACTTTGCCATCTTCTTTAACAAAAAAAATCATCCCATTTGATCTTGCAATATTCAAACAATCAATTTTTTTTGGAATAATATTGTTGTTAATTTTATATTTAAAATCTTCAGGAGAAGAATTAAAAATATCCCAAATTTTTATTGAGATTTCATGATTGGTGTCATTTTGTGTAATAATGAATAATCTTTCATCATCATGTATAAATTCTAGAAATAAAACTTCCTCTTTGTTATCCAAACTTTTTAAGGCAATAAAAAGACCTGATTCCATAGAATAAATTCTAATATCATTATTTCCACGTGTAAATGCCAGCAAAAGATTGTTTAATGAAATTGCATAAGCAGGGGTACCATATTTTTGAGTTTTTAATTCTTCACGAGTAAAAAAACTTTGTTCAGCTTCCATTGTTAACATTGAATATAATTCCATTGTTTGGATTCTGTCTTTATATTGATTAAATAGAAAATAGTTTTTATAAATACAGGAAACAAGTCTTTCCAAACAAGGTATTTGTTTAAACCAAATTTCAATATCTTTTTTGAGTTTTGGTGGAAAAAGAAATCTTTTTAATTTTAAACTTGAATAAATATTTGGTTTATCTAAATCATCAAGAGATTTATAAAATCCTTTTACATTTGTTATTAAAAGACTTGTTTTGGTTTTTTCAACTTCTGGTAAAAACCTCACTATTCCACCAATATTACTAGTTAAACAAGTTTCATTTACTTTATTTTCATCTACCTTAATCTCATAATTGCTATTGTTACTTTTATCATCATTTTTATAAATATCACTTATATCTATATAAAATATTACACTACTAGAAGGTTGTGAATGCAAAGGATAATAATGAAGTTCTTTCATATTTTGATATTCTAATTTGAGTTCTTTATATTCCTTAAGTTTATCATGTAAGTGATTAATTGGTCTATCACGATCAATCATATCATTTGGTACTACTCTTGAAATTGCCACTAAAATTGTTGGTTTACTATTAAAAGAAATCGTATTTGATATAGAAAATGACCAAATTAAAAGTTTTCTATTGTCCTTTTTTATTTGTTCTTCCTGATTGCTATTATCCTTTTTTGTTTGTTCTTGTTTTCTATTATCTTCTTGTGGATATTTTGCCTCTGAAGGTTTTACATATGGATTAAGTTCATCTAAGAATGTTAATTTTTTAACAATATTACAAATCTTTACTTTGTCTTTGTCAATGTCACTATCATTATCATCATTATTTAATAATTCAAAATTTTTGTGATGTGTAATTTTTAATCTTAAACTTTCATCCTTATTACAATCAAGTCTAGCTATATATTCTCCATCATTGCTAATTGCAATATAATATTGATCTTTTTTTTTACCACTACCACTACTTTCATTATAAGTAGTAATAATATTTTGTTTTTCAACTTCTATTATATTATCAAGATTATCAGTCATTATTATCAAAAAATTATTGATTTAATGATATTAAAAAAATTTATGAAAGACGATCGTTTTTATATCAATCAAATATATTGTTACGCAGGCCTCCATTATAATCGAATTCAATGAAAACGCTTTTTTTTTGGATTGATTGTATAATTATTATAATCATTACAAATTTAGAAACTATTAAAGGCCATTTTGTTTCCTTTTGAGGGATTGTGCATGGAACACCGCGCTGAAATTTCAACACTGAATGCATGCATCTCAGCCTTGAAGTTAAAATGTAGTTTTACTTTGGTAACAACTTTTAATAATAGTTACATTGAATCTTGAAAATTGAAAAGTAACAATTGCAATATTTAAAGAAAAATTTCATCATCAAAAAAAAAAAAAACATCATCATCAAACTCTAGCTAGTGATTTGATTCATTGTGATTCAACAATAAAAGCATTTTAGCATTGTTTATTTGTTTTCTTTGTACCTAAACCTGTCTTATCTATTATGTAAAAATACCAATATTGACCAGTCTGTGTGTTTCAAATTCAGACTATAAAGCCAGCTCAAGCACATATTACGCGTAGTTAATTTCAAAGTCAAAAACACAACTCGTGTGTTTGCAAAAGTTACTCTACATACAATTATTGAAGATAATTCGAACGCGGTTCGATTTTTTTTATATATATAAAATATAATAGTTTTAATTTGTTTCATTTTTAATTAGTTTATAATAGAAAAAAAAATATAAATTTAACATTTTTTTGACGGCGCTGATATATACCAACTAAATCAACTTTTTGTTACAAATTCACAATTTTATGTTACTTTGTTGTTTTAATTATAGCTTTTGAATTGTAGCATAATAATAATAATAACAACAACGGATGAAGGTTTACGGTTTATGTCAGTACAATTTACAAGCTTGGTTCTTTGAAATATAACCTTTCTCATTATACAACCCAATTAACATTGATTAAAGTTATCATAGTTATGGTGATTGAGAAACAAACTAACAGTGCACATAAACAACAAATAAAGTGCATGTTTTTCCCAAAAATCTTTGATTTCTGCTCCCTCTGTTATTTATTATCCCTTAAAATGTAGCACAAATTTTGTTTGTGATGAAATTAAAGACAAAAGTCACTCATTATCTAATCCAATATTTATATTATTTCACTTTTTTGCGCGTTATTATAATTCATATTATGTAATTTTATTTACGTAATTTATTAACGTAAGAAAAAAACGAAACTATATAATGATAAATAAATGGAATTTAGTTTACAAAAAAGGATTTTACTGTTTTACAATTTACAAAATTGAAAGCGAGAAGTACTTAATTAATTAATTAATATTTAGTATTAATATTTAATATTAAGCAGCTTAAAACAATGTTTTTTATAAACATAATTTTTTGGGAAGCATGGAATTAAAAAAAAAAAGGCGGATGTTTGTGCTGGCAAATTTACTATTACTATTATTATTATATATTATCACTAAAAAAAAAATGTACAAATTAATTATCATATGATAAATTTTTTTTTTTTTCACATAAATTGAAATTTTACATTTATTGGTGAATCCATATATATCATCAATTGAACAATCATTTTCAAATAAATAATGATCCCATATGACTAATAATTAGCATGGCGGAAATTTGAAATGATACACTAATTTTTTATATTGTGCAACGTAACTTTACAATACACGGCAAACATTCTGGCAATAAAAAGTAAGTGATAAACTGGATTTGAATTGGATCTGAACTTTGATCTCCAATTTAGAGAGGTAACAACTATATACTGGTGAAGTTTTAGGAGAGATGGGTTTTGTATAATAACAACAAATTTCCAATAATTTTAAACAGTTAATGAATCCACATTACATATCAATTGAGAAGTATATAAAGTTTTTAAAAAACAAATATTGAAAAGATTATTAAATTTTTGTTTGTGTTAAATAAATAAAAAAATGTGCTCAATATTTATTTCAGTCGTTTTTATTAAAAATGTGTCCACGAACAGTAAAACAATTGATGGTTCTGCTATTTACAGAGACATTGAAAACAATAGTTATAATGAAATTTTATTAAAGGTTACCTCGGAGGGTCGGAGCCTCCAATAGTCGAGTTTAATAAAAATTGTATTTTGCAAGTAACTGGATGAATAATCGTAGAAAATGGAACAGAATATGCATTTATATTTGTATTATAGTGTTGTAATTACTGTAACAAAATGTTAATTATAATTTTGTTATAAACAGCTGAACTTTATACAAAAAATTTTAATTGAAAAAGATTCAAATAAAACAGAACTACCAGAAGCTTCTCCGTTGATTGTTGTGTCTGCTCCCTACGTCAGAAATTCGTATAAAAAAATTGAAGATATTGATTGTTGAGTCATTCTACCTTGCAAGGAATTTTTTTAATAGTGTCACAGGAAATAAAATAACTCAAATGTACAGTTCACTCTCTCTATAACAGCCCTTTCTATAACGGCCTCCATTCTATAACGAACTGTAAATCGGAACCCAAATTTTTACTATATAAAAAACCTTACTCTATAATGGTTTTCTTAATTAATTTCCTATAGCTTATAACGGCCTGTCTCTGAAAATTCTCTCGTGTGTTTCAATTTATCTTATTTTGTTATAATTCAATTCAAATTGTTAATATATTTCAAAAAAATATATATACATTAATTCAAAATTCATCATTGTCTCTATTCTTTAACAAATAGTTGTATTTCTATTCGTAATACAAATTCGAATTATTCACTTCATTCGTTTGTATTCGATTTATTTATTTATTCAAATAATTCGAATAAACTTTCAATGTAATCAAATTGATAAATAATTTGAATAAACCTCTGATCCTTTGATCAGACTGACGGTATTTAGACCGGTTAACTGTCTAACTGGTTCCAACCTCTAATATTAATAATATTGGTGATATAAACAGATAGATAGACAAACAGATATTTACATCAACTTGATCAGAGCTATTCTATAGTTTATTTATTTTAACTTGAAATGAACTACCTTTGAATTTACTTTATGGCTTTCCGATTTTGTCATATTAACATCACTGTTATTACAATTTCTACCGCTGACACCATCAAACCCTCTATATCATTTAAATTAATTCCGCCAGTAGATTTCATGAAACTTTGTAACTTGTTATAGAATTCTTTATTTGTCACCTACTCCTTTACAATTCTTCTATATCAGCTGTAGGATTTTTGCGCACCATTCATACATTTATGAAAAATTGATATAATCATCACCAACACAATTGGCAATAGTCACTAGTATTTATTCTAGAAAAAAACTGAAGATGGCGAGTCCATTGAAAATGAGGAGGTTTTAGAAGGTTGTGAAGAAAAATCGCTAAAGAACCTATATTTGATTAAAAATCCATTTTATTACATTAAAATTTCTATACAAAAAAAACTATACAGTCAAACCTTGTCACAGCGAATGAACGGGATACATAAAACATCTAATTCATCAGCAATTGTAATCTTGAAAATTTAATTGATTTTGATTTATAACGTGAAGGAAAAAAGAAGTTATACCATGAATCATGTATGACAAGAGATCATTTATGAATTTGGCACGATGATATTAAAGGAATAATCTTGATATCAAATTTCTGGTTGATTTAGATGAATTATTAGAAGAGAATACAGATGTTGAATACTCACCATGTGTAATTCTGGATTCAAAGAGTCATAGAGGGAATTTCAATAGACATCTTGCCTAACTTAAAGACGGCATTTTATGTGTTATTGACACTTTCTCTGTGACTAAAAATGTAATGGATGCTCTGAGCATTCATAGGCTGTGCGAAACATTAGGATTCCTTGCTTGGGATTTCAATCTTGCAAAAAAAATTTTCACTAAATCAACAAATGAATTTCGTACATTGTGTATTTGTTCTGATTGTTTTGAGGGGAAAGACGCTAGTAAGTTTACTTGCATGACAACGACTTAACTAAAACTCTAGAAATATTTGGAGGCTAAATCTCATGATGAAATGAAAATCAATATTGCGTTTTGTCATTGCTCCAATACTTAGATAATGAGATTATCTAAACAATACAAAAAAAGGCAGTAATTGAAGAAACACTATGGTGATCATGTAGAAAATTTGCAATTATCCGCCTGCCTTGCCACAAATTCTTTGTTCTTTTTTTTTTACTTTTATTCAAAAAAAATAATCATGAAGTTGCAGAGACAAAGAAAAAAATCATAAGTTACTGTCAGCTCCTTTAGATACTACACCAATTAAACGAATTACAATATTTTTAGTATCAATTGTTTTGGGAGCAACTATGATTCAGTAAATGGGATTTCCTATGCCTGGGATCATGAAATTCAAATGCCGATCCCATGAATAGACTTGAGGTTTTTATAACCTAGCTTCTATAGATTTATAAGCAAAAACTTGCAGATACAGCAATAATTAAGATGCTGCCAGAAATACTATACGCTATTACTATACTTTGTGTTATATTCCAGTTTAAAATTCCTTCAAATTTGCAATTTACTCTTTCAACTTTCTTTTCTGAGTCATCTGATCAAGTAATAATTGGGGAATCATCGATAACAAAAATCTAAATGAAAATATGACCAGATTTTGATCAATTAATTCATTTCAGAAAAGATATATGATTTTGATGTTAAGTTGTTTGTCATAAATTTAAAATTTAAAATTTAGTGAAATCACATGGTAGCATTTAGCAAATTCATCACTTTGAAAATTTCTTATGTGACATAAAGTAATGTAAAGTATTAGAATACCCCATATATTAATATGAACCTACACTATAATAATTGACAATTTAAAATGCTTATGTGTAAAAACGTTTATAGAATTGTAAAAATTATAAAATAAAGGGTTAACATAATAAAAACTAATCCTGGATTTGAAAAAAAAAAATAATACATTGTATTTTTTAAAGAGAAAATTTCAAGGTTTTGTGAGTAACGATATTATTTTATCCATTTTTTTTTCTAAATTTGAAATTTTTTTATTAACATCATTATTATTGGCATTCATTTTTTTTTCTAAATTTGAAATTTTTTCATTAACACCATCATCATTGAAATCATCCAGTTCCTTATGAAACTGCCACAAAGAATCAGCTTGATGGTCAAAATCCTTTTTTTCAAGAATGTATTGAATATAAGAATTTTCATTTTCATATTTTGTGTATAAACAACCTCTTCTTGATTTGGTTCTTTCTTTCCATGAATCAAAATTATTATTATTATAACAAATGTATTTTGGATCAGGTTTAGGAGGATTTAAAAAACCATCTTCTAAAGCCTCATAGTCTGATATGAAAGCAGCTTGGAGCTTGAGTAGTTCAAGTTTACTTTCTTGTGATGTTTTTTCATACACATTACTAAGTAAAATTTATTTATTTACATTAATATGGAAATAATATTATTATTATAGTTAAAGCAATAAAATATAATTATTAATCACCTCATAAAAGCTATAAACATATTTTGTATAATGCTTACAATTAACAAGCTTGCAATTAAAGATAAAATTTGAACCATAAAATAACTGCCATAAGTATCCCTATTTATCCAGTTACCATTAATCCAAAAATATGCAGCTGGAATTGAACTCCAAAAGTTTGAAAATGGATTATCAATTGATGATGTACTGTCAAAATCTGCTCTAATTGTTATATCATTATATAATGTTTGATCATTAGCTGTATTGATTATAGAATATGTATTCACATTTGGTACTAATCCTATATCATTTGGATTTTGTAACAATATATACCTATAATATAATATAATATTATTATATTATTTTAAAGAGAATGTTTTAAAATACAAATATACTACTTACATTGTATGAGCAAATGCCAATATAACAATAAGCATAAATAACAAAAATGGCCAAACAGTTCCCAAAAGCTTTTCTGTGATTATAATATAAATTCCTACACCTACAAAAATTTAAATTTTTAATATATTTTTATATTTATAAAATAATACACAAATGTACCTTCAAATAATCTAAGGTATGAAAGCTTTTTAAATAAATAAATAAATAAATAATTAATTATCAATAATAATAACAAAAATGATAAACAATAGCTTTACTTACAAATTCAATCCAAAGAATTAACATTGAAATAGATATAGCAGCAATTGTTCCTTGATCAGGTTTAGCACTACCAAATGCATCTTCAATTTCAAATGATTTAACTATTATAGTTGTTTCAACTATTAAGGGTACAATAATAGCAATAATATCCAATATGTTGTATTTATTAGAAAAATATTTTCTAAATTTATAATATTTTAATTGTGCGAATTCAATTGACAAAAGATGATATCCTGTAAAATAAAAATAACCCATAACTAAAATTAAAAAGTTTCGAAGATTATTTGAACTATTTTGATATGTTGTATAGGCCCAAATTAATATAACATAACAAGCTGCATATTGTATAAATGTTAAGGAATGTAGTAATAAATATATTTTTGCAGGTTTCCAACGAAAATTTATTAAAGCCTCTATTGCTGGATTATCAAAGATTAAACCTTTTCTATCCAATCCAATCATTTGAATAAATGAACTAAGTTTTTCTTCATCATCAATATACCTATGAGGAAGTATAAGGCGTCTAAGACAAGTTATAACAACATTTTTTTGAACATTTTTCTTTTCAATCTTATTAACTGTGAAATTTGGAAGTGGTACTACACACAAGTTGAATGGTACTGTATTGTGTTTGTTTTTTCCTTCAGCTTTTTGAGCAGTTTTCTCTTTAGTCTCATTTGCTCTATTTTGATTATCTTTTCCAAAAGCTATTTTTTTAAAAGGAATTTTCTTTACACTATTTTGCAGGAGGTTGCTTTCAGTATCTTCTTTAAGCTTAAAATTTATTCCTATGCTATTATCAGTCAATTCTTTATCTAAAAAAAGTTTAAAATTTGTTCCTATGTTATTATCAGTAAAACATTCTTTGTAAAATAAATCATACACATAATCTTCTAAATGAGATTGGAAAAGTAAAGGTAAAGTTGTTGAAACAGTGATCATCCATCCAATATGTTCAATAGCATTGTTGGAATAATATTCTAATAAATAGCCTACAATTAATTTGTCTTTTTTATCAGTGTAATATTTGATTGCTAATACTAATGCACTATTTTGAATATTTTCATTTCCATTTTCATTTCGATTTCGATTTCCATTTTCATTTTCATTTTCATTTTCATTTCCATTTTCATTTTTATTTTTTTGCCATTGTTTAGCTCTTGGTAAATGTAAATGCAAGTGATTAGAAGTATTATAGGATGTTTTTTTGGTTGTATTTTGAATAATACTATTGTCTCCAATTTGATCTTTACCAAATAAAATATACTTTATAAGAGAATTAACTCCACCATTGATAAGGTTTGACATAACCTCATAACGAGTATCCATAAGTTTCCATATTTCAGGTTTGTCTCTAATGAATTTCAAAATAATTTTTACAATATATTCATACATTTCTTCAAATCCACGTTGTTTTTTATAGCTTACTAATAAATCTTTTTTAAAATTAAGATACTCAAGAGCCTTACAAGCATGTCTTATAGGTGTTACATATTGATCTGGATAAGGCCATTGGATTTTTTTGCTGATCTCATCATCACCCCAAGTAACTTCCAGTTCAAATTTTCTACAACCAACTCTCAAATTCTTTATTTTTAAATGTTCATTACCATCATGATTTTCATTTTCCACATCATTGTCATTTTTATTTTTTTCTTTTTCAACATGTTTAAGCATCCAAATATATTCAAGAATTGGAGATTCATCATCAACTTTACGCCATATTTGAACAGTAGTTAAACCAATAATTAATTGTAATAATTGATTTTCATCAATAAAAGCAGATATTTTTTCATAATTTTTTATACCAACCCATTGTTCCTTATTATTTACTATTGGTTTAATTTTATGAACATCAACCCATTTTTCCTCATTATCTACTAACAGTGAAATTTTTGAATTGCCAACATCATCATGTTTTTTGAAAGGGTCAAATATTTTATGCTTATCAGCATCATTGTCTTCACAGCAATACCAATGGTTTAAATATTTGTCAACTTTCTTAAAATCTTTAAATACAGTAAATGATTTTTCTTCTTTTATTCCATCATTATCATCATCATTTTCAAATACTTTGAATTCAAAGAATTCAATATTTTTAAGAACATTTAAGACTTTGCCATCTTCTTTAACAAAAAAAATCATCCCATTTGATCTTGCAATATTCAAACAATCAATTTTTTTTGGAATGATATTGTTGTTAATTTTATATTTAATATTAAAATCTTCAGGAGAAGAATTAAAAATATCCCAAATTTTTATAGAGATTTTAAAATTAGTGTCATTTCGTGTAACAATGAATAATCTTTCATCATCATGTATAAATTCTAGAAATAAAACTTCATCTTTGTTATCCAAACTTTTTAAAGCAATAAAAAGACCTGATTCCATAGAATAAATTCTAATATCATTATTTCCACGTGTAAATGCTAGTAAAAGATTATTCAATGAAATTGCATAAGTAGGAATGCCATATTTTCGAGTTTTTAATTCTTCACGAGTAAAAAAACTTTGTTCTGCTTCCATTGTTAACATTGAATACAATTCCATTGTTTGGATTCTGTCTTTATATTGATTAAATAGAAAATAGTTTTTATAAATACATGAAACAAGTTTTTTCAAACAAGGTATTTGATTATACCTAACTTCAATATCTCTTTTGAGTTTTGGTGGAAAAAGAAATTTTTTTAAATTTAAACTTGAATGAATATTTGGTTTATCTAAATTATCAAGAGATTTATAAAATCCTTTTACATTAGTTATTAAAAAACTTGTTTTGTTTTTTTCAACTTCTGGTAAAAACCTCACTATTCCACCAATATTACTAGTTAAACAAGTTTCATTTACTTCATTTACTTTATTTTCATCAATATTAATCTCATGATTGTTATTGTTGCTTTTATCATCATCTTTATAAATATCACTTATATCTATATAAAACATTACAGTACTAGAAGGATGTGAATGCAAAGGATAATAATGAAGTTCTTTCATATTTTGATATTTTAATTTGAGTTCATTATATTCCTTGAGTTTATCAATTAAGTGATTAATTGGTCTATCACAATTAATCATATCATTTGGTACTACTCTTGAAATTGCTACTAAAATTGTTGGTTTATTATTAAAAAAAAACCTATTTGATATAGAAAATGACCAAATTAAAAGTTTTCTATTGTCCTCTTTTATTTGTTCTTCTTGTTTTTTATTACCCCTTTTTGTTTCTTCTTTTTGTGGATCTTTTACCTCTGAAGGTTTTACATATGGATTAAGTTCATCTAAGAATGTTAATTTTTTAACAATATTACAAATCTTTACATTGTCTTGTCCTTTTTCAATGTCACTATCATTATTTAACAATTCAAAATTTTTGTGATGTGTAATTTTTAATCTTAAACTTTCATCCTTACTACAATCAAGTCTAGCTATATATTCTCCATCATTGCTAATTGTAATATAATATTGATCTTTTTTTTTACCACTACCACTACTGTCATTATCTTTAATTTCTAGATTATCAGGATTATCAGCCATTATTATGAAAAATTATTGATTTAATGATAATAATATACGATTGTTTTTTTTTTTAAATTATATTTTTAAAAAATTTATGAAAGGATCATTTTTATATCAATCAAATATATTGTTACGCAGGCCTCCATTATAATCGAATTCAATGAAAACGTTTTTTTTGAACTGATTGTATAATCATTATAATCATTACAAATTTAAAAACTATTTGTAACGTGGCACCCGCATTAAGGATACCGGCGACCACTTTGTTTCCTTTTTTCGGATTGTGACATGGAACACCTCAACACTGAATTAGTGTTCCTATTCGAATATTCACATTAATTAGCATATTAGAAATTGATGTCAAATAATTTTTATATTCGAATATCCGTAAAATTTTTGAATATCGTAATAGTAACACTTTCGAAATATCGTAACACTTTCAATATCGTAACACTTTCGAAATATCGTAACACTTTCAATATCGTAACACTTTCGAAATATCGTAACACTTTCAATATCGCAACGCTTTCGAATATCGTAACACTTTCAATATCGTAACACTTTCGAATATCGTAACACTTTCGAAATATCGCAACACTTTCGAAATATCGCAACACTTTTAAAATATTGTAACACTTTCGAATATCGTAACACTTTCGAATATCGTAACACTTTCGAAATATCGCAACACTTTCGAAATATCGCAACACTTTTAAAATATTGTAACACTTTCGAATATCGTAACACTTTCGAATATCGTAACACTTTCGAAATATCGCAACACTTTCGAAATATCGCAACACTTTTAAAA